TGAATGTAATAACATTTACTATGTATAAATTGACATTTAGTCAAACCAAACAATTGAAACAGAGATATCAATGCATTTCAGTCAACCGTGTTACACCTCGTGGCGAAAAAATTAATTATATTCGGTTATTGATAAAAGCAAACTATACAGAATATTTTTTTATGTATTTGCAAACAAGTAACTAACATATAACATTTACCAATTGTAACACCTTTTAGAAATAAACTGAATACTATTTTTAAGTGGGCCACGGGGATGTCAGTGGGCGGAAGGTGGTTCGTGGATGGGAGGGGGTCAGTCGTTTGAGGCACTGGAATGATGGATAAGACAAGCGTGTTCGGGAATGAAACCCGCACTGTTGATTGAGAATTATCAGACGGTACAACCACAATCCAAAAAACATGCAAAACGCACGATCGTCGCACGAGTTGCATGTCGTATGCGTGAACGTTAGTGTGACTGGTTATCATTGACGGCAATTGTTAGAACATATGAGAAACATAATACATTGGCTGGTTGGTTGTTTTGTTGTTTAACGCCGCACTCAGCAATATTCCAGCTATATGACGGCGGTCTGTAAATAATCGAGTCTGTACCAGGCAACCCACTGATTGATATCATGAGCATCAATCCACGCAATTTGGATTGATGACATGCATCAACCAAGACAGCGGGCCTGACAACCCGATCCCGCATAATACATTGGATTTGAAGAGGTCTAGGGAAGAATTTGAATTAAATACAACTTTTATTCCAAGATTTTAAACTGTCAGAGCTTTTTGTCTCCAAGAAACATATCTAAAAAACACAGATCTATTTGATATCCGTCAGTACAGTTCTTACCACTCGTTTTCCCCTCCTGGTGATAAAGCTACAGGAGGTTCTTCTATCCTGGTGAAACGGGGCATAATCAATAGCCTTGTACCACGCAACACTACTCTACAAACTGTTGCTGTCCGTGTTACTTTGAACATAGTGTTTACACTGTGTTCACTGTATCTCCCACTTTCTCAACTATCCGTCAATCAGATCTCCAGACTTTATAAAACCTACAGGGGGCGGTCGGGTAGCCTAGTGGTTAAAGCGTTCGCTCGTCACGCCGAAGACCCGGGTTCGATTCCCGACATGGGTACAATTTGTGAAGCCCATTTCTGGTGTCCCCCGCTGTGATATTGCTGGAATATTGCTAAAAGCGGCGTAAAACCATACTCACTCACTCACTCACTCACTATAAAACCTACATGACAATTCTATGTGTGGTATGTAGCGCCTATTTGGGTTACAACGGTAAACCATTTATGGCTATTAACATTAAATGAAAATAAATACGTGGAGCATATACGGTAGTCTGCGCAAACGGTTCAGATGAGGAACATGACATGTACTTCTGAAAAAACGGTGAACATTCATATTTGTAGTTTTAGTAATAACTTTCACATCATAATAATTTCGGGAAATAAGGAAGGTAAATATTTCATCCAAATAAAGATACGAATGCACACGGTAGAATATATAGCTCGGTTTAAGTTAGTGTAATTATTAGTTTTATTAGTGATTATTTTGGTGACTATGGTAATGTATCACGACGCCGAAGTTGCTACTGACGACGCGCATTTCCTGAATATATACGGAGCTAGACGACAAGGGCTAACGGAGTGAATACGGTAATTGTATACTTAAACGGTGCGCATTTCAATGCACGTTGTTATGTAGTATAAAGGATGACCATAACTGTATTTAAATTTCTACGGTAATGAAATTGTTGTATAGGCTGTGTTGTACCGTATACAACTATATCAGGGACGGGTCTAGTTACAATATATTCAAATACTTACTTCATGAGGATAAAACTTCAGAAATATGGAATGCGTCGTTATAACCTATTCTGTAAGGGCGCATGGGCGGTAAAGCTGCTCATATAACCTTTGATCGGTGGACTGTCGGAGAGTATGGAATAACCGACCTACGTATAAAATACATCTTGCTTGAAACAGTTGTGTAAACTCAAGTAACCGTTTTGTGACTAGGCTACATGTACGCTACGCTACTGCACGGAAATATAAACTGTATATGCATCTGGCATGTTGAACAGATAATGATAGACGTAGAAGGCGACTATAATCATGGATGTCGAAATATAGGAGAGAAATATTGGTTTCTCACATTAATGACACATCAACTGGAGGAGCCCACCACGCATTACACTTCATGCATCAGTGGATAGTGCCTGAGATATCACGGTAAATAATATATAATGAGCAGTCATTAGAACTTGTACACAGTAGATAGAGGGTTACAATATGGCAGTAATGATTCCACTTAACTATAATATTTTCTAGACAATAATAACAATGAAATTAGAAGTTTAGTCATAAAATAGGAATATTTAAATGTTTCTTACATTGAAGCGAGCTGTGAGGTCCTTATCAAGGAATTGTGCCGAGGACCAACACCCAAGCAGTTACCCCCCACAGCTATACTCGTATCGCATTAACAATTACTGATCATGATGTTGTCATTTCTGTCTATGTAATCTGCCATTGGCAGTCAAATTTGACTACACAAAACAGGTGGTAATAGAACATTTCAGTTTTCCCTAACAATTGTCGATTTTAATTACAGTTTTAGATGATAGTCAAAACCTGCGCCCGCTGGTAACAAAACATTGATCAAGAGAACAAAGGCCGGGGCGGACGTACGCACTGAATTTATCTATGATTACGAAATTAACTGTTCGCGTGAACGAGCTCGCCAGGTGACAGCCGTCATAGCAGACCAGCGGCGATAAAAACGAGAAATACTGGTCTAGCGACTTTGGAATTTTCGAATTTAAGAATTTCCTAGGTTGTGAAAAATATGAAAAAGTATAATGAAATATGTGCACTGTAATAGAACTTTACAAAGTCCAATTGGTCGTTATTCCAAACACTATGTACTGCAAAATTAAAACCCGACAGTTTCAGGAATGTTCCTGATCCTATACAACTTATTTTCAGATATATTAAATGCTATTGGAGATGAAAGCATTCCTAAGTCCTCTGCAAACGTAACCATGGTTTGATGATGATTGTGAACAAGCTAGGAAAAATAGGAAGAAAGCCGAGAAATATTTCCGACGACATCCAACTGTCCACATCTTGAATAACGTTAAAACCACGGGCGCCAAAGCGAGGCATACCTCTGAACAGAATAAACGTCAATCCTGGAGGAACTATGTATCAAAAGTCAATTCCCGCACATCCATGTCCAAGGTGAGAAACATGATTCAAAAGATTAAGGGTAAAGGATCTAAATCTGGAGCTACCATCTCAAAGATATCTGGGAATCAATTATTTATATAGTAGAATAGGGATGGTTATTTTTAGGGACGTTTAATTCGAACTCTTACCGACGCCTAGGTGGCGAAATGGTCCATGGTATTTGTCATAACAGAATTGAGATATACTCTGAGTGTTGCCGACATCTTATACAAATTTAATACCAAAAATGATCTGGTATTTTCTGCATAGGTTGGGATAGATTTGTGTGGCAAAAATGAGGTACTTCAGAAATTTGGGGAAGAGATGGAACAATCGCAAAAATGTGGCAGAGTGATATTTTGTACATACAAGTTAGGTGAGTGAGTGAGTTGTGTTTAACGCCGCTTTTAACATTATTCCAGTTATATCACGGCATGTCAGCTTAATGTGGGAGGAAAGCCCGAAGTGATGCAGGTCTCAGACGTTTACCACTTCGGTGAAACCAACGAGCACGGGTATCTCGGCCCCTTAGACGACTGGGCCACCCGTGCCCCCCTATACAAGACAGGTTTTAATTCTCTTTTGGCCATAGTTTTATACACATTCTATTTCCGATTTGAATTAAGTACATAGTTTATTTACTTTGTCTTACTTTTGCCATATAATTGTATTTACGTTTAAACATTAATACCATAGCTTATCTCTTTCATTGAGTCTATTATTTATCCAGCCTTGACCAACCATACCACTGCATGCTTTTCACCCACAGCACTTAGTATCTCACCCCGCGCTTAGGCTAGTCTATTGCTCTCTGTGGTCACTCACAGCTGACCACAGGTACACCTTTGTTTTCTAGTGATCTGGGGCAGTTGCTAGATTACACTTGATGGATGTACATCATAGTCATTTTGTGTATATTTTGAATGGATCTTGTGTTCAGAATGTTATTCATGGATCCAATGGATGTGTTAATTTCATGGATTTGAAGGTTAGTTGTAGTATATTTCTTGTGTGATGCTTTATATGTATTTGTGTATTTCTAATTCTTAAAGTTAGAAAAAAGTTGTGCTATGTTTAAATTGATTATAGGGTCATAAGTATATATGTTACTGTATCATTGTGCAGATTACTTATTACATGAGTAACATAGGTTTCTCGCTTTTTCTCGCTTTTTTCAAGTTCATATAATTGAATGTCTATTACATTTAAGGCCATTATAACAATGTCAATGTTCTATGTCTTTTGTGCAGTATGTCTTATTATTTATACATTGTTTCAGGCCGTATTTATTCGCCTTTCTCTTCTGAGAGAATAAACATCCATCAGCTCACAACGTTTGTTTACCACCTCGACAACTAGGTGCTACTACAAAAACACAACCACGTTAGCGCCTTGCGCTGAAATACGGCGGAACATGACGTTGGGTTTTCATTGCATGCCATCACAATCTTACAGCAAGTGAATAGCGAAAACATGCCACGACTAACGAAAGCCCAATGCAACAACTCCATCACCCCAAAGCAAACAGGAAAATCATCTTCATCTGTCGCCAGGCTTTTCCACGTGGCATCAAGCACCATTACAAGACAAGTGGAACCATTTTCAGACACACCGGGCAACGCGGGACCTTCCCAGATCCGGTCGACCACGTATCACTAAAGGACAGATTCACAGGGCAACGTCACTTACTTGAAAGAACCACCACGCCCACATCTACTGCTTCGGCAATACCAGGATTGCGTAGGATATCAGCCCAGACAGTGAGGTACACTTTACACATTGAAAGTATTCGTGCTAGACGACCAGTTCGAGGTGTCATTTTGACGGACCTGCATCGTCGGCTGCGATGTCAATGGTGTCATAGAGTATGGCCATAACTGCGATGGAGACAAGTTGGTTAAGTGACGAGTTACAATAGTTACCACGTGGTCCTGAGCCCTGTGTAAGTGTTTAATTTGCTATATCTTTCTTATTTGTGATGGAAATTGACTTTAAACGTTGCATATTTATTGACAGTAAAGGATTTCATGTTTTCAGCTTGAAATATTGTTTGAAAAAAATTAAATGATTTTTTAAATATTGTTTTGAACGTCGGATTGTATGCATTTGTTGATATGAGTGTGTGCAAGCGCCATATTTAGTCATATGAGTTCCAGTATGGTAGAATTATGTATCACTACACCTGTTGTGCCTCGTTTTAGCTCACATGATCTTAAAATGGCCAAACTTGAAACCTTTTTAAACTAATACAGAGACAAATTTTCTGAGCATTCAGTGAGAAACGAACAAAATAGCCAGTGTAAAATCTGGTCTGAAGCATACCCCAATAGGTATGGGGTGATGAGATATCACTACTCGATATCTAACAAGTGGCATACCATAAATGCTCACCCGTGAAGATCCGGGATAGAATAGGTCTTCAGAATTGTTTTCCCTAAGAGGGTATGTAAGCCCCCAACCATTCGTAGTATTTTTATGCATACCAGACTTTTAAATCGTAGTATATTTGTTAGTTTTATTCAATGGCTAAACTTGTATATAATCGCCAGCGACTGAAGGGATGGTGTAAATCCTGCCGGGGTCCATGCAGGAAGCAAAGGCACTGTAAGTCCCCATGGTCCCTGGTGTGGTGGTCTCCCTTTAGTTACTGACGATCTCTAGCCCATTTTTATATTGTGTTGCTCCTTAATACTTAATGCTTTTAAATGTTCTGCAACTAGTTTTAAATCTTATCTGTGATATTCTAGTTCTCATACTGTCCTTTGATGACAGATTTTTATAAAGTTTAAATATATGTATATTTCATGTCTAATTTCTCGTCACGATATGGCTGAAATATTGCCGATGTGACGTAAAGCATTACCTCACTCACTCACTCACTCAGAATTGTTTATTAACTCCCATATACTCATACCAAACGGTCCTTATTCTCTCTACATGTATATGTAGACTCATCACAACCAACACGTGTCAGGTAAGCATATTTAGTCAGATTCGATAGCAAACATTCATGAGAAAATAATGTACTCGATGAAGACAACTGAGTCTGTTTGCAATAAAGCCAATACCATCCGACCGCCCGACCGCCCGACCGCCTGCGTGGTTTAGTGATAGAGCGTCCGCCCGGAGAGCGGAAGATCCGGGGTTCGATCCCCGCCCCCGTCATACCAAAAGACGATAAAAGATGGTACTTGTTGTTACCCTGTCTTGCGCTCTGCATTAAGGGGCTAAAACAAGGACTGGTCGCCTCGGAGTCCCTATACTGTGTCTGAGTGGGGTATTCATGTTAAACTGCGTCATGGTATCTCAGTGGGCTAGCACTATAAATCGGCATCAGTCCGGACTAGTACAAGCAGCCACACACACACGTGCATGCACGTCGCTATATAAGTGCAATAATCTTGGACGAGACGTTAAACCCAATTTCACCTCACCTCACCCATCCGATCGCCCAGCACATGTGTATTATGACATAAGGAATTTATGAGAAAAAATGAAATATTGTTTCCAATATATATTCCTTCATGGCCTGTACATTAAAAGGTTAATTGCACATTTTTAATTAAATTAAAGTTAATTAAATAAAACCAAAAAAAATAGTTATTGAAGGCATGGTTGTTGTGTGTGAGGCCAAATGAATGTTCCCAGCATTGTCTGGAATTAATTACTTTGCAATAGTCAACATTTCCTTTGTGTCGAGCAATATTCCTGCAGGTGCAACCTTTGGTGTGTACATTTCATATTTTTTAGATACAATCGGGCATGCTCTTTCCACACAAAAATAAAAAAACGGCTTTCCGGAACTTCATGGTATACATATGGAGGACAAATATGACGCATCGGTGTCGAAAACAATATCCGATGCATTTCCCTATTTTAACTTGTGCCATATGTTTCCGTGTTTGTTTAGGTAAACACCTGACTCGTCTTTGCATGTGACGGATGCCAACGATGGGGCAGGATAAGCTCACCTTTTCGCAAACACCTTGTGCCATCACTGTAAGATCGGAATTCATAAACGTACATGTATGCATATGATATTATGGTTGATTCGGCTGTTAGTAGAGATGTCTTAAGATAATGGAATGGGTTTTGTCGCTTTCATTTGTATTGTCCGTCATGCAGCTATATGACCAGTGTGTGTGCAATGACATTAATAGGAGAGGACACGAAGATGTTCATGCATGGTTGTACATTATTAACGTTGGTTTCGTATTGACTGGAAAACGTCTGCTACGAAAACTGTTAAATACATCAAGAAAACTGATTGTTAATATTGCAGAGCTGTGGTGAAGGTAACGTGTTACTTCAGTTACAAATGTATTTAATATGTATGGTCAAGATCTTCCACTGGCTACAAATTCCTGTGAATGCTCACACATTCTGTTAGAGTAGGTGACTGCAGCGTTAAACTCAAAGCAAACTTAACCCGGATCCTATTAATTATTTTTGAAAATAGTAAAAAAATTATTATAACATAGATTATGTGGCTGTGCATATTATCACTATTCTAGCTGTGTAACAACATATGAATAAACAATGACATTCCAACATTTGTGCAAGAACACATGTAATCCAAGGCAAAGTTATGAATGTTTTAGGGGGTGATTTCTAACGCTGTTATTTCCAATTTTTGATGAAAAAGCAGATGATTATTATGTACTATGGTTCTTTGCGTGTCACTGGATTATCTGATCCAGACTCGATCATTTACAGGCCGCATTGCTTGGCATTTTGCTATCACAGCGTTAAGCTATAAACAATGGAAACAAGCGAATGTTGTACATATCGCTTTTAGCTAACTTCAACACATGATAGAAAAGGTTGAATTACATGTGTGTGCGCGACAGATGGTGTGGTTCAATCAATTAACAGTGAATATCTGCACTCATGTTTCATTACAGTCACTGCACATCCAGTTGTTCGCTGAGTTGGCTAACACATAGAAGCAAGAACAGGTATGTGTTACACCATTTTAGCTCACGCGTCATGGCCTGCTTGTTGGGCGTCGTCGGCGTCTGCAAACCCTACTGCTCTTCAGAAACTACAAACCAATGGTGACTATATTTGTCGTATAATGCGACTAACGGGATCGGGTGGTCAGGCTCGGTGACTTGGTTGATGCATGTCATCGTATTCCAATTGCATGGATCGATGTTCATGATGTCAATGTCCGGACAGTCTGGTCCGATATCCTTCTCAAACCAGGGATGCGTCCTGCAGTCTCCGTAGCTGTGGCATTGCGATGACGTAGGTAGGACAGTCGAATGTAGCGATCCTGTTCAGGGGTAGAAACTCTTGATCGGCCGGTTCTCGGACGGTCTGCAGTGGAATTGAACTGTGTGTATCGGTCCCAAAGGCGGCAAATGGTGCTGTGGTGGACGTTGCAGTGACGTGCAACAGAAGACTGTGATTCCCTTCTTTGGATATTTCATATAGCAGGTTCCGATCGGCAGCGCTGAGCCTCGGCATTTCTGAACTTGAAAAATGTTGACAATTGAATGCCAAATGAAATGCCTTATGCTTGCCTTTTAATAGCCACGACCACGAGTTACGAATGCCAAATGGACGTGCATTTTGCTTTACTGTTTTCTCCATGACATATTTGTACAAGTGTGAAAACAATGCCGTTTAAGACATTGCAAATCGACAATGGCGGGGTTTTGACGCACCATTGGTCGAATATCAGGCCACCAACATTTTCCAATAACATATATCCAATTTATATAACGGATGTTTTGTGTAGTCAGGTTCAATGAGCTACATACTACCCGTGCGTTTCTTTTTTTTGAAGAGTGTACTTCTTTGGAATGTAATAGTCAGTATTGTAATTTCATATAAACAGGTTAATGATTTTATTTTAAAACCATAACTGAATATATTACTTTAACAAAATGGATAAGATTTTTGTTAAAATATATACACAATTTTAGAAAAATTATCTTGGTCTTGGAATTGTTTATATGACGTTATTGATATACAGAAAGGTGATACCTGAAGACTCGCCAGGTGTACCTTATTTTCACAAACGATTCATGAATTATTCCTCTCGTTTTGTATCATATAATCAATGGGTTCACCATTTTTAAAAAAACATTGTGATCACAGGATTTTGAACTATTTACTTTATTTCTCGGAGAATTGTGAAAATAATAAAAAATATAAACCGTGTCTTATACGATTATCCTGATAATTCTATATCAAAGGAACTTTCTTCGCATCTTTCACTGTATAGTTCCAAAACGAGATGAAGAGAAAAAATCACATGATAATGAACAAATACAAGTCCAATATTGAATATACTTTTGGTTGTTTTGAAATATTCTTTGGGGTTTTTGATTACGTAGAATTGATACAAAAAACAGGTGCGTGTCTTGTCCAATGAAGGTACACGGTAAAGTTTGTAATTGTTTATATATTCAAGACATTATATAGATTGTAAAAGCAGTCATTTATGTTGAGTCGAAAAAGCGTCAAATTCCATTTTATAAATCGAGATTGTCCATACCACGAATATGGCTGAAATATTGCCGATGTGACTTAAAAAACTTAACTCACTCACCATACCACGAACGAAAATGAGGGGATAAATATATATTAATCAAATTACCTGTGTCATCCTACTCCGACGTTGTCAATGCAATAAACAAATAGAATGGTGTCATGTTTTTAGTAATTCACTACATTTGGTGAATAGGCTAGTGCTCCATTAATAATGGTGCAACATCAGTCAAATTACACTTGCACAATTAGGAGAATGTTGGAATCTAAGAACTAATTTATAGATGAGATAGGGCCATCTATTCCGCTTTTACTTCCTCTTTTATGAAGTACGATTTCATCATTTCTTTATATTTTGTTTATGCCTAAACGTATAGTTTCAATATCGATATTTGTGTTAAAATAGTTTGCTTCCTCGTGAACAAATCAACACGAAAATATGTTGTCTTATCCACAGCTAATTCTAAACAAGTGACCTGAGTTTTGCCCCCTTGTCTCTGTACGTGTGTAACCATTGTCTCTGTGCGTGTGTAACCCTTGTCTCTGTACGTGTGTAACCCTTGTCTCTGTACGTGTGTCTTTTGACGTCATAGAGGAAAATCAGTTTTCATCATTTACGGCAGGCTATATTTTGTATTGAATGTATAACGTTATACATATTAAGCATATAAATCCATTTGATATATATTTATGTCGTTCAGATATAAGGCAGTATTTTGTTCCACCACAGTTTCTGTAAAACTGCTAAATAAAAAAAAATCGTCGCACAGTACTTTTGTAGGTGTACGATAAAAAGCGGCGAAATGTTCTGTTTTTCAACGCAGAATAAATTCTCGGACAGCACTTAGCAGTGTCTTTTTTCAAAACCGATTTAATATTTGTAGTTAAATTTACACCATGAGATAGGAAATTTAATATTCTACATCAATTTTATGGATCCAGTGCCGGTTGAGAGCAATTCTCGTCCAACCGTCACTTTTCAGATCTTAGGAAAATGTCCGTCAGTAAAAAAACCTCGGCATCCAGCGGGTTAAATAACCATATGAACGATGAATGATTTTTTCCAAGCGAAAGCGATTTTTCTGATACAAATTTCGTCAAAAAGGTGTGTTAATTACTTTGTAATGATGATTTTGGCGAATGCAACGAGATAAAATCAAATTCACTGACCAAACAGCAACCCCGTTCTAAATATTGATGGATATCCTTACCACCCTGATAGTGAAACCAATCGTGCCCTATAAATTGACGCTTTATTGGAATAAGTTATCACAAGTGACACTTTTGTCAATTAATAATAATTGACAAAAGTGTCCCTTGAAATTGGATGCTTTCAATGCAAACTTAATGGTCTAAAAGTGTCCCCTGTCTGTCCCTGTATTCGACTTTTCATCCAGCACATTGTATGACATAAAGTTTTTCGAAGCACAATTCATAAATCACGGACATGGAAAGTTTTTTCCTTGAGAAAGAAGCCCTAGTAAGAATCTGTTTCAGATTTTGGCTCCGTCTTTTACATTTGATAAGTTTATTTTGTGACATTTTTAGTTTTAATTCTTTACACTTATTAAAATATATGCCTTGGCGACACGCGGCAATTTGGGCATTAAGCATAAAGCCAGGATTACAACAGTTAGGGGGACGTCAATTTTTCGTGTCAGGTGAAGGCCAGTATATATGGCGAATAACTGTAAGATATTCGATTAAATAAGAACTATTCGAACAAGAACATGACAACCCTTGTCTGATTTTTTGCACTGGCCCAAGCACGGGGGAAATGAAAGATTCCGTGTATTACGGGGGTCGGATCCAGTTCGCATCTTTGTCTGTCCTTCGCACTCTATAGATACTAGATACTCTTTTCCATCAGTGTACGTTTTAATACTTATACACCCACCCACATCCGGATGCCAGCATGGATCATATTTAGCGACCAGAGGTAATATGGCTTCAGATTGCTCCTGCCCAACTGCCCCGATCACCAGATATTAACCAACCTACTTTCTCATTTTTCAGGACTGATTGGTTGGGTAAGGTGCCTTTAACATGTCTCTTTAATTGTCTGTTAAGACAGATTTCATTTGCTTGAAAACGTGGTCAGTAGAGAGGGCAAAACCCGCAAGAATTCCACGTTATGTAGCAGGGGGATATTCGTCACCATTGCTTCCTCTGGTACTTCTTTGACAGTTTTGCATTTAATTCAGTGCGATGGGTATCTTGTCTTTTCTGTCATAATGTTTGATTGTGCTCATGTAGGATGCAAAATTTAAGTTGAGATATTTTTGGCAGTGATTTCATTCTCATTTAATTAGTCAGCAATTTCTGTGCCAGCCACATCCAAATAATTGTCATTTAAACGTTCAGCTGGTACTTGCTGGGGATACATGTGTCACACTGCGAAGTGACAGTTTCTGGTATTCTCTGTAGCCTGTATCATGGAAACTGTCCAATACCATCATTAGTTTGGACAACAAAAACATTAATAATCGTGTTTTCAGGGACTGAATGCTCTTAAGAACTCTTCCTTTTTTAATTGTTCATCAATTTTAACGAGATTGTTTATGGATATTGTTTTATTTGACGGGTTCGTGAATAAGGTTTGTGTGAAAATATATCTTGTGTCATAGTTATTCCTCGATTAAGGTTTTGTTTGAAAGAAACATGATTTTTGTCTACTCTGTTATTTGCTTCCAGGTTAATTATAATTGATTTTTTGAACACTGCAGTCTAACTTCTATAATATTAAACTATTCTCTATACTAACCGTGAGCCAGTAACAGCCAAATTAAGTCTTCAGATTCAACAGAAATATGTGTGAGAAAGCAACAGCAACCACAACACGGAAAGAGATAGATTTTAAGGAAGCAAAGAATATTCTTCATTATTTGTGTGGAGACGACGAAACAAGCACGGATGACATCATTGACCGTTTTTCCCAGATTAGCCCCAAATATGACAAGGTTGGTATATCTTGAATTCATATTTCATTTTGGAAATTGATAGAAGAAAGAGTTATATATGTCAATTCACCCGCCGAAATATATATCATCTAGCGCAAATTTAAAAAAAGCAACAGCTTTAGTATATCACAATAATGATGCTGATATATGAGTATATAAGAATATTGCTGAGGGCGGCGTTAAACAACACACAAGCAATATACAACTTGCATTGGCAACCATGTTGCCAAAGGCAGTTTGAACATACATACATACATACATACATACATACATACATACATACATACATACATATCTTTCATCCGTCCGGTCCGCCGTCATATAGCTGGAATATTGCTGAGTGCGGCGATAAACAACAACACACCAAATCACCCGTCCGGTTCACCTGAAGCTGGTCATGGCGATGGGAAACACAAACTCACATTGATGGCCTTGTCTTTATTTAAGATCTTGGAAGCAGTGAGCTATGATAGCCCGATGCAGACTGCCCAGACAACTGCAGAATTGTTCCCTGGCAACAGAGAACATATTTATATTCTCGATGCGGCGGCTGGAACTGGACTTTGTGCAGAAAAGGTCAGCAGACAACAATATAAAAAATCTCACCCGAGCGTCTTTTGATGTTAAATGTTTCGACGGGTGTTAATATATTCGATGTCAAAAGACACCTGGGTCAGATTTCATTTACCATCCAAAATCGTTCTTGCGACTCATTTCCGTAAACCGTAATTACCACTGTCATGATCGTATAAATATAAGCGACAAAACACTTTCCATATTCATAAGAAATCTCAGTAAAAGAGTCGATTGTACGATACCTACTATATCATGAGCATGTGGTCATAAATCACTATCAAATAGTAATGACACCAGGTGTTCGCTAACCAGCGTCAGTGACAGCGAGAATAGTGCGGTCGTTTGATTTTGACGTTATGGGAACCAGTAACGTCACAATATTTGCAAAGGAATGTAATGCAATTTCATTTTAGCGGAGATATCACCCAAGCAACATATTCATGTCGAAACCAATTTTGGATGATCATGAAATAACTCTGTACATTACTAATGTGCACCATCCACCAGTGTAGAACGTGCACTATTAGGTAGTAATGAAATATTGTACATTTCAGACATTAACAATAAATGGTTCACAGATTGCAGACTTAAACTCATAGCAGTCGCAATCGATATATTGACCTGTGGAGATCCGGGGTAGAATGGAACCCATGCTTGCCGTAAAAGGCGACTATGCTTGTCGTAAAAGGCGACTAACGGGATCGGGTGGTCAGGCTCGTTGACTTTGTTGATGCAGGTCATCGATCCCAATTGCGTGGATCGATGCTCATGATATGAATCACTGGATTGTCTGGTCCAGACTCGATTTCTTTTACAGACCGCCGTCATATATAGCTGGAATATTGCTGAGTGCGGCGTAAAACAACAAACCAACCAACCAACACCAACCCAATCGATATATCTCTATATTACGATAAACTTAGTTTACTCATTTGTTGCACATTTCGGTATGGAAACGTGGTCTGGAAGCATTCTAACTTACTCTGATAGAAAATATTCGACACATTGTATGTGATGGATAATTCCATATTTCTTCTTGACTAAGATCTGAGGATTAATGTATTCTCAACCAATTCATGTCTCAATCGTGGTCATATCAATGAATACTCCTCAAAGTAGCGTTAAAGCCAGTGTATTTATATGTATCCATGACACAGCAGAAGTCGTTGTATGTGTTTGAGATTAATTGATGCCACCGGTGGGGCAGGATGCACTTACCTTTTCGCGAACACCTGGTATCATCACTATTTATTTGTGATAAACATAAACACCTACTTGGGATATTGTAGGAATCGTACCATAGACTCTACTAAAATTTAGAAGAGATTTATCATGGAAATTGTGTCGCTTTTATTTACAGCTTTTCTCTTACGGTTTTCGTAAAATGGATGCTCTTGAACCTTCGAGCAAAATGCTCGAGGAGGCAAAGACGAAAGGGCTCTATCGACGATACTTCATAAACGGATTAGGAGAAAATACCCTGGGAATTGACGATGGTAAGCAGTTATCCTTGTTTGCTGGTTATCATTTGACTATGTCTCTTGGACATGCTTGCATGATAGTAGTGGTCTGTTTGCTATTCTGGTGTCAACCGTGAAGATCCGGGGTAGAATAGGTCTTCGGCAACCAATGCTTGCCGTAGAAATCTACTATACTTGTCGTAATAGGCGACAAACAAGATCGGGTGGTCAGGCTCGCTGACATGGTTGATGCATGTCATCGTATCCCAATTGTGTGAATCGATGTTCATGATGTCAATTACTGGATTGTCTCGTCCAGACGTGGTTACTTACAGACCGCCTTCATATAGCTGGAATATTGGAGTGTGGCGTTAGGAAACAAACAAACAAACACACAAACAAACAAAACTGTTCTGATGCCGGGTCAAAATAAATGCCCTGTACCTGTGTCAATACAGCTGACCAATCAGGTGGTAACTAGGCTCTGTGACGAGGATGAGTGTGTGTGTCATCGTACCAAAATGGTGCATCGTTGCTTTTGTTATAGCTCAATGGTTTGATCGGTAGATACTTAATTGTTTTCACGGCGCCCTGAGATAGACTGCGGCATTACACTAGTGTTATTCACTTACTGGACCCGTGAAGATTCCGTGGTAGAATAGGTCCTCAGCAACCCATGCTTGCTGTAAAAGGCGACTATGCTTGCCGTAAGAGGCGACTAACGGGATCGGGTGGTCAGGCTCGCTGACTTTGTTGTTGCATGTCATCCATCCCAATTGCGTGGATCGATGCTCATGATATTGATCACTGGATTGTCTGGTCCAGACTCGATTATTTACAGACCGCCGTCATATAGCTGGAATATTGCTGAGTGCGGCGTTAAACAACCAACCAAACAACCAGTTATTCACTTACAGTTTATAAAATTTATGGATGTGTAATTGTATCTCTCATTTACAAGGGACAATAATATTATTTGCATCTGATGGTACAAACTACCATTTTTTTTTAAAAACACCAAAAACAACTTCCAATTATTTCTGACAATATGAACTTGATGTTCGAATGTATTACATGCAAATATATATGACACTGGATTGAATGTTGTTTTGCGCAACCAGTCAATATTTCTGCTATCTCACGACGTGTTGTATTATCGGGTCTGGGCCATGCACAAAACGCCATCCTAACCGGCCTCTTAACGTGACAAGAAACAGAATGTCGTGAATTTATGCCAATCCCGATCCCTACGTGTGACATGAATAAATATACTCTTTTAGGACACAAGCATAATTGCCATCATTATGCAGATGCATATACTCAAAGACAGCTGTTTGTGTCAATTCATAGGGTCGTCATGGACCAGCAATTTTGGAATAGAATTTCACATGAAATCTCAATAAAGATATTGGCAGGAGATTTTAATATACACAAAATATATTAAATATGTTCTCCGTCAGCGAAAGAGCACATTTAGAGATATTATTGTAACTACAAAACATTTATGGTAGCATGGTGCTGACTAGATTGGCATATATAGTTTAATATTTCAGAAACGTATGATGCCGTGACCATTTGCGCAATGAGCACAGTGGTCATGAAAAAGCTGCCTATGAAAGCATTCGAGGAGCTCATCCGCATCATCAAACCAGGTAAGTATACATCATCGATTCACTTGAAATTCTCTAAGATATAAGGAAGAAATGGCTTCTTGTCCCTCAAGACTGAGCGAAAGGGTTTCTCATTTGATGACGGATACACCAGCATACTTCACAACTAACTTCTATTCTCTAAGGGGGTCCTTTCACAATCTGTATTTAAATGTAAACATCAGACGTAGATTTCGATTGAGGGTGTGCATATTACTCAACGACACATCAATAGTTTTCATCTATGTCAAGACCCGTGAAGATTCCGGGGTAGAATAGGTCTTCAGCAACCCGTGCTTGCCGTAAAAGGCGACTATGCTTGTCGTAAAAGGCGACTAATGGGATCGGGGGGTCAGGCTCACTGACTTGGTTGATGCACGGTCATCAATCCCAATTGCGTGGGTTGATGCTCATGAGTGCGGCGTTAATCAACCAACCAACCAAGAAACGGGAACATGATTATGTAGCTGATATTTTTATCAGCTGTGGTGATGAGAACGAAAGGAAAAACACTCTTGGAGGTCTTTCATAGTGAGTGAGTGAGTGAGTGAGTTGGGTTTAACGCCGCTTTTAACAGTATTCCAGTTATATCACGGCGTGTCAGCTTAATGTGGGAGGATAGCCCTAGCTGGAATATTGCTGAGTGCGGCGTTAAACAACCAACCAACCACTGAATTCCATTGATAATTACGTTGAACATAAAGGCTGATATTTCTCCTTTAGTATGCGGGGTGCTCTGAAAATTATTCTGTCTCAGATATCCCGGATTAATTCGTGTTTCGCACATTAGTATCTAATTTTCTTTCAGGTGGTTACATTATTAATACCGCTTTCTACTGCCTGTTCCCTGAGGACGGAGATGACCACGCACGGTTGTATAGAGCAAACGTGAAGACATTGGAATGTCACGGGAGACTAAAACAGGTGGAGCTCAGACGCTTTCCTCAAATTGGCTTTGATGCAGATGGGGCCGTTTCAGTCCACAAAGTCCTTAAATGAACTCATGGAAAACTTGAGGAACTTTCCATTACCTCCCAGATGCGTGATTTGTACAAAATTGTAAAATATCGCTCTATCTGTATTAATTTAGATATGTGAAAAAATGAAACTTATACTGGAATATTTAAAGTCAAACATGGGCCAAATACGTGTGTTTGGGTTGTTCTAGTCATCCATTCACCTGTCGATCATATGGACCAATCAAAATGCTGAAATTTCCTCCGTTTTGATATCAGCCATGTCTCCTGAGAGTGCCTGCCTGCATTTATTGTCAATTAGCCAAACCATGAGAGTTAAAACTAACAAACCTTACCCCTAAATACATGTTTTGGCGATCTGTTATTGAATGTGCTTTTGCAAAACGCTGACGTCATTTGTTAGCGATAGAATGCGACCAAGGATTTATCGTTCCTTAAAGGGCCCATCGGTCTCTGGAGAGGATGTATTTGTCTTGAAACAAATTTTCATTTCGTCAGAAAGTACAAGTACATACAGTTTGTAAAAGAACTTTAAATTCGAGATAAACTGAGAGCTTCAGAAGCAGAGGAAAGAGGGAAAATTGGAATTCTTTGCGCGGCAGTACACTTTTCAAAGTTAGCAAAATTCAAGAAACGGTCCAACTTATCTGGGGGCACGTGTGGCTCAGTCGTCTAAGGCGCCGCGATTCGCTGTGCCGAGTAACGTCCTTTCGGCACGCCAGAAACCTGTGATTGTGGGTTCGAATCCCGGTTCGCCCCGATTATGTTTCTAGGTTTGTCAGCACCATACCCGTGCTCGTGTGTTTCACCGAAGTGGTAAACGTCTGAGACCTGCATCACTTCGTGCTTTTCTCCCACATTAAGCTGACACGCCGTGATATAACTAGAATACTGTTAAAAAAGCGACGTTAAACCCAACTCATGATCACTCACTCACTCCAGCTATTCTGCAGTTGAGATGTATCTCTGCCTGTAAAATTCTCCGACATTAAAGGCTAATCTTCCATTTTAAAGTCAGGGGTAGAATTTTGAAAGTCGCCAACTTTCGACAAACTGAGGGTGGTAAGGACAAAGAAAAAATATTTTCGTATGGAGGCTATAAATAGTATAGGGTGGTCAGGCTCGGAGACTTGGTTCATTTTGATCTCAAATGCGTAGATCAATGCTCACGATGTCCATCTCTTATCAAATGTTCGATTGATATCGTACTTGAAGTAATGGGCAAAGCTTGTCGTAACATTCTTGAAGCAATAGATATGCTTCTCGTAAGAGGCGATTAAATGGCTCGGGTGACCTGCTACACACGAATCTCGTCAGAGTGTTTATTGACCTAATGATATAACCAGTCTTGTGTACAGATGGATGGCACCCTAACTCGGAACATACATTCATGCATGAACGTAGATGCCCAATCTCTCTAAACAGGTGGTAGGAGCATCCTAAATTCTTTGGACAGATCTTGGTAACCTAAAAACGTCAACGCCAACGTCTCTCTCAGTTATCAGCCGAAACAGATTCCATTGGGCGTAAATGGCAAGACAGTGATGATAATTTTAATGAATGAAAATCTGAAAATCAGTTATGTATGGACTACTACATGGGACATTGTCGCGTTCTCGCATTGACACCCTTGCAAAAACAAGCAAAACGTGTAAAACGTAACGAAAGTGCGACAATGCGACATTTCAGCCATTTGTAGCACTGTCGCGTTGTCGCGCTTTGAATAATCTTCTTTATTTTAGCAAAGCGCGACAATGTGACAACACAACATTTTTCAAGGTAAACAAATGTGGCGTTGACGCATTGTCGCCCCATTAAAAATGTTTTAAAAAGGCGTTAAAATGCGCGACAATATTCGATAATGTCGCGTTGTCGTCCTTTTCGTGCGTAGTTCGTGAATTAACCTACTCATGCGCCGAAATGGTTATACTCCTTTTCCTCCCACATCAACCTGATACGCTGTGAAATAACTGAATGCTTGAAATAACTGAATAACTTCTAGCACAGCTTAGGTCGTAAATACATATACTCCTTGGATATGAGAATGACGGGGGTAATAATGTGCTTTGAGCATGATATTCAGCATGAGTAGTATAAGTAATGACAGTTCTCCCGCAAATCCACTGGAGCCAGATTTATATACGTATACTGCTACTGCAGAGGTATTTTTTTATGCAAAAATGATGATGTGATTCAACGATCGTCATGAGACTAATATTCTCTATTATTTTTACTCATATGCATGCCATTATTTTGAACAAAGTGATATTCAACATTTTTACTAAGCTCTTCGTTCATTTTACAAGGTGACCAGACTATGACCGTATTTGGTTGGTTTGACATTACTTTTATAATATATACCCTGTGATATTTCTCGCCATTTTATAATTTTGTCCCGTAGCATAAATGTTTTTGTTGACATTATTATAGACGTATGTAAGCATTCGTTTAAATGTGATCCAACGATAGGAAACAATCTATTTTTAATCTTCAACCAGTTCTTTGGTTTTGGCACGGAATAACTGACGCGCTTGTTGTCTCCCCTGTTCTATGATCTTTTTTTCTCATCTTCGCTAATACCACTGGTCTTACGAGAATTGGATCGAATCTCCTGCTTCATTGCGTTGTATTTGGTTAGTTCTAACAACAAGTAACGAAACCCCTCATCGTATATCTTACAATCAGCCAGTGTTGTTGAAATATGATCCTCAATGCTGTTCAACAATCTGCATCACCACCCGATAGTGTTCAGGCACAGACTCAGACTCCTTCTGAAGAACCAGTTGTTCTGGACCGAAAATTATCACACAAACAAAGAAAAAAGTTCAACAGAAATCAGACACCCAGTACCCCGTCTCCTTCAGATGTATCTCTCCACAACTCCTTCAATGCTTTAGACATGGAGGTGACTCCTTCGTCAGACAGTAGCGGTAGGAGGTCTTCTTCCTCACGTTCACGTGAGAGATCACCCATTGAGCCACCGTGACTCAATCATCACATTTAATACAATGAAACTGTAGAGAGCTTAAGAATAATTATAATGATTTACAACTTTTAATTCAGGATTTCAAACCATCGGCGATTTGTCTACAAGAAACATACATTGTATTACCAGGACACTGAAAATTTCGATATAAGAGGTTATACCTCCTACAATGTCTTTTCACCTCCAGGTGCAAAATCTTCAGGTTCTTCAGTATTCCTGAAACACGGAGTTATCCACAGCCCCGTTCATCTTGCTACTCCTCTTCAAGCTGTTGCCGTCCGTGTAACTTTACACATAGTTTTTACTTTGTGTTCGCTCTATATTCCACCATCTTCTTCCCTTCGACCGTCTGAACTTCAAGCTTTATGATCAACTCCCCAAGCCCTGTATCATTATGGGTGACTTAAATGGGCACAATCCACTCTGGGGTAGTGTTCAGATAAATAACAAGGGTAAAATTTTGGAAGGTTTCATTTCGAACAACGACTTGTGTATCCATAATGACGGTTCAAACACATATCTACATCCCGGTACAGGTACCTACTCTGCTCTTGATTTATCACTCACTCTGATTTATTAAACGAATTTGAATGGTCCGTCCACGAAGACTTCTGTGGCAGTGATCATTTCCCAACCATTTTAAAACCCGTATTACCTTCAGATGTTCCTCCTTTAACAAGATGGAACTTTACTAAGGTCAACTGGCCTTTATTTGAAATGCTTGCATCCAATAAATTAAAACCTGATCTGTTTCTTGACGCTACTGACACTGTACAATTATTTTCTGATGAATTAAACAAAATTGCTGATGAATGTATTCCTGAGTCCTCTACAAATCCACACATCCGTAAACCATGGTTTAACAATGACTGCAAACAGGCCAGGAAGGCACGGAAAAAGGCTGAGCACTATTTCCGTCGCCATCCCATGGTCCATAATTTGAATAAATATAAAATCTCAAATGCTAAAGCCAGGCGTACGTTTAAACAAAATAAACGCCAATCTTGGCAACATTAAGTTTCCAAAATAAACTCACGAACGCCCATGTCCAAGGGACCCGTGCAGATTCCGGGGTAGAATAGGTCTTCAGCAACCCATGCTTGCCGTAAAAGGTGATAATGCTTGTCGTTAATTATAAAGGCGACTAACTGGATCGGGTGGTCAGGCTCGCTGACTTGGTTGATGCATGTCATCGATCCGAATTGCGTGGATCGATGCTCATGATATTGATCACTGGATTGTCTGGTCCAGTCTCGACTATTTACAGACCGCCGTCATACAGCTGGAATATTGCTGAGTGCGGCGATAAACAACAAACCAAACAACCAACCAACCTTGTCCAAGGTATGGAATATGATATAGAAAATTAAAGGTAAGGGTTCTAAATCTAGCATCCGTAATCTTAAGAATAGGGATAAACTATTAACTAATAAATCGGATATTGCAAATAAACTGGATGAAACGTTAGCTTAAAATTTGTCTTCCTCAAATTATGTCCCTCAATTCCCCAAGTTTTAAAAACTGCAGGAAGGAGAATTCTATAAATTTTAGATCAGATAATGGGGAAGATTATAATGAAATATTTTCTATCCATGAACTTTATACTGCTCTTTGACAAGCTAATGATACTGCAACATGAGCTTATAATATACACTATCAACTCCTGAAACACTTACCAGAACCGTGTTTAGAAACCCTTTTGTTAATTTTTGATGATATATGACATCAGGTTAGTTTCCTTCTTCCTGGCGTGATGCCATGCATAGTTGTACCCATACCGAAACCTGGACGATAACAGTGATCCTTCAAATTATAGACCCGATTATGTTTCTAGGTTTGTAAGCACCATACCCGTGCTCGTGGGTTTCACCGAAGTGGTAAACGTCTGAGACCTGCATCACTTCGGGCTTTCCTCCCACATTAAGCTGACACGCTGTGATATAACTGGAATACTGTTAAAAGCAGCGTTAAACCCAACTCACTCACACACTCAAATTATAGACCCATTTCATTGACAAGTTGCGTTTGCAAAACCATGGAACGCATAGTCAACAATAGATTAACATGGTACTTGGAATCAAATAATTTAATTACAAATATTCAGTGTGGCTTTCGTAAGAATAGAAGTACTGTTGATCATTTAGTACGGTTAGAATCATTTGTGAAAAATGCAATAATTAATAACCAACATTCAGTGTCTATCTTTTTCGATTTAGAAAAAGCGTATGACACTACGTGGAAAAATGGGATTTTAAAGGATTTACATGATTTTGGATTGCGCGTCCGTTTGCCTCAATTTATATCCAAGTTTTTAACTGACAGACAATTTCAGGTCCACGTGGGTTCTACCCTGTCTGATCATTATCGTCAGGATCGGTAGTCCCACAAGGAAGTATTTTGTCTGTCACTTTATTTAGTATAAAAAGAAATAGTCTTTCTAAGGTTTTAAGTGATGCAGTAGATCACTTTTTGTGGATGATTTTAATGTTTCTTGTCGTGGAGAAAATATGCATACAATAGAGAGGCAACTACAAATCTGTCTCAATAAAATTCATAAATGGTCCCTTGAAAACGGGTTTAAATTTTCCAAATCAAAAACTAACTGTCTTCATTTCTGCAGAAAATATAAGCTGCATAACTATTTTTAAATGGCACCCCTATCAAAGTTGTAAAGGAGGCCAAGTTCTTGGGCCTTATTTTCGATAGCCATTTAACTTTTCTTCCACATATTAAATACCTTAAAGCTAAATGTTTGAAGGCACTCGATACATTGAAAGTAGTTTCCAATTCAATGTGGGGAGGGGATCAAACAACCCTCATACACTTGTACAGGTCACTCATCCGTTAAAAAATTGATTACGGCTCCATCGTCTATGGTGGAGCCTGCAAAAGTAATTTACAAAAACTAGATACTATCCATCATCAGGGCCTGAGGCTTTGCCTTGGAGCCTTTAGAACGTCTCCCATTCACAGTCTGTATGTAGAAGCGGATGAATCAGTCAAATCCAGCTTTTAATTGCGTCTTTAATCCTCTTTACCAAGATATTTACAATGCAAAATCATCTCTTGTTCCACCACTTGGAATCAGAATCCAGTCTACCATGTCTGCTGCTAATATTAAACTGCAAGATATAGCTCCCTCTCAGCTGTTTTCATCTCCTCCTTGGCAAATGGTAAGGCCAGAGGTAGACCTCACATTAACCAAATTAAAGAAATCAGACACCAATCAATTAATTTACAAACAAGAATACAATCAATTCAGAGACAAATATGATACTTATAAATCTATATTTACTTATGGATTCAAGGATGGTGGTGCTGTTGCTAGTGCCACTGTCATTGGATCCAGAACAATATCCTCACGATTACCTGATAATACTTCCATCTTTTCAGCAGAAGTGAACGCCATTTTTACTGCACTAAAATATATCAACAACCAATCTGAATATAAACAGTTCATTATTTTATTCATTTTTATTCATTATTATTCGTTAGGCAATTAAAAATATGTTTTCGAAATATCCACTTTTAATCCAAATTCTTGAATTAATTAATGATCTTGGTATCACTGGTAACACAATGGACGATGCTGCTGCAAAAGCAGAACTCAACAAATCTGTGACACCACTTCTGATTGTCATACTTTGGAAATTGAGAATGGACGTCATTATAAAATCCCAAGAAATTTAAGAAAATGCAAACTTTGTAAATTAGACTGTGTTGACACCGAGTACCACTTCCTGCTTATTTGCCCATCGTATGTCGGCAACTATATATCAAAGCAAAGTTCTATTGTCATCCTAACGTTCATAAATTTAATATGCTTTTGTCGTCACCAGATACATATATTATTACAAATCTAGCAAAATATCTATATTATGCAAATGAAGTAAGAAATGCGAAACTGAAACCTGTCTGTACACAAAGGCCTGTGGCCTATACGTATTGGAAATAAAGTGAATGAATGATCCCATACAGTGATTATACATGTAAGACTAGTATTAGATGTTACATCCGAGATCTAATGCAAAAGAAGTAGGACACCCAGGTAGGTATCAATAAATTACATGAAATTAAACCAAATATCGGTTACACCTACTTGGGTTGTCAGTCCAGATTTGAAGAGGTCGTTATGCGGCGATGTCGTATTGGCTATAGCAGATATACACACGACTATTTGTTGAAAGGTGTAGACCATAGCATGGGGATCTCTCTTCAGTGGCTGGCAATCTATAGCTCATTTTTATCTTGTATTGTTACATATGATGTTATATTTTTATGGCTATCTACTAGTTTTAAATAAAATCTGTGATAAATCTAGTTATTTTACTGTCCATCGTTGACAGGTTTTTATTTGGTCTAAATATATGCATTATTAATGTACTTCTCGTCACAATGTGGCTGAAATACTGCCGATGTGACGTTAAATCTTAACTCACTGATTCACTTTCGGGTGTCAAATGCGACCCTATTACAGTTACTGAAAGTATTGCCGTTCCTGGTCTTCATGGTCAGTTAAGCCATGACTTGTCAGCATCGGCTCAGCTCAGTCATTGATCTAACGACGCATACTCTGAATTATCTCCATCAGAATTTATACTCGCATAATAAAGAAACGCAACACCAGCTTTAAACTCACATTAGTTGTACTTACTCTCAGTCCATGTATCAATACACGACAGGGTCAGACCGGCCAGGATCGTCACTAAATGGAGAGAACTTAGATCGATCGGTATTCGACTTGATCGACTGCAAACCACGCTCTCTTTTCCTTATGTTGAAGGTATCGGGCCTGGCCTGTCTTTGTCACATGTCACAATACCTCAGTTTGATTCATTAAAAGTTAGATCTGACCATGAACTCATGTGTGTTGTAATCGGAAATGTACCGAAGCCTACGTGCCAGATTGATCATCTCTCTATTGATTTTGTGACTCACTCCGGATGCTACAAATGAAAAGTATCTTACCTGTTTGCTTGATTCATTAACATGGAACCAATCCAATGATAAATATGTAATGACCATTATACTCTTGTGATAAATGTGAAATGTCTTTTCTCTAGACGCATCTTGATCTTTTAACAGTAATATGAACACTTTAGGCCAAGCATACATGTAAGCACAATGAGCTTAAAACAAACTTCAACAGTTGTTTTAACTTTTATATTTGAAACATTCCTTCTCAGTGATTCCTTCTCAATAGAGATGACTAGCGTCACACGTAGATGTTAATGTTCCCCAGCATTCAGTCAATGATGACTCTGGAACAAAAAGATACAGTGTAAAGGCGACATCAGCTCATTCTAAAACAAACGTTAATCCAGACTTAAAATTGAAGAGGGTGGAACAGCTAAAATGTCAAAAAGGTATATCCTGTTTCAGTTACAGGTTCGTACCTTTGTGTCCCCTTCAACAGGTATGCGTACAAAAATGTAAGCAAATAATGGCCGATATTCCCTTTTAAGAACGTCATACTTCAGTGAATTCAATCCATCACTTTTCATCCGTGTCTTCATTCCTTTTAAGAGCTTTCCTCTGCAATGAAGATTTGTGTGGGGTTGAATTAATAGAATCCAAATCCATACATTCACCCTTGATACTTTGAGACTGAGATTATTGTATCCTTCTACAAAAATCTCTTTGGGTATAAATGTACATAATTTACACACCGAGAGCATTGGTATATTCGTTATAGGGATTGTGAAATTCTGTATGTTTAATTGTTTATTGTTTCACGCCGCAATCAGAAATATCGAGGTCCTTAATGCAAATACTGCATTTATGATTCTGTACGGACCGGTAATAGTAGCATATGTGCCTTACCAGAACACCCATATCGTAAAATCTATATTGACATACTATTCGCCCATTTCTCGAAAGTAGCATTATTTTCTTGCTCCTGTGGCACCAGGGCAAACGCGTACGAAGGCAAATCATGATTTCACCAGAACAAAGACGAGAACCTGTGGTACAAAGCCAAATAGAGAAATGCGTCGATCATTTTTTATGCATAAGAATTTCTCAATACAACATTTTAACAGCTTTACAAAGGCCCTGGATACCGTAACCCTTAATAAAGACCTTTAATTGGCCTGGAGAAGCGGGAATATTGCTCGAGATAAAGGGAAAGTTTACTATTGGACGTTTTTCATACATTCTTGTGGATACTTTATTGTTAATCTGAATCTTTATCCATAGATCTGGATATGAGACAGATGAAACGTTTTCATTGATCTCATATATTTCTGGTTCAGGTGGATAAATCAGTGGAAGGGAACTGGCTATTTGATAATGATTGAACAATATAAGGTCATCAATATACTAAGCTTACTTCTGGGCCTAATTGCTGAACACCTGGTGTCTTACCTGATTTGGACTGGGGTCTTGTGCAATTGCAAATCAAAATTGTACTTGACCCGTTTGAATATTATTTTGAAGCTTTGATGACTTTACAAACATGTAATGTGGAAATGGGGTAGTACAATTGTGCAGTTGGCTTTTGAAAAAAAGAACAAGTATGGCCTCTTTGACACAAGAAACCAATGAAGTGCGTCGGGCTTAGATAAATCATCGATGCCAGACATGCAATGATCGTGTCTAAGCTACACAGTCAGAGGACAGTTCTTCTCCAGGCAATGAAGCATTCAGCATGAAAACAGGGACAATTTGTCACCAGATGTATTGATTCTTTGTTGAATGGATAATGCCCAACATATATCGAGTTATACAAAATATCAGTTTAATTTCTAATATAACAACAACTCACAAGAGTCAACCATTTTGTAATATGAAAGATAATCACCAGATTCTGTCACACGCTGTATATATCAGCTGACATGCACAAATTGTAACTTGTTTCAAATCAGTAATCTGAATAACATTCATAAGTCCATAACAAAATTGAAAATGTTAGATTACATTTTCGGGTTGTTTTTTGACACATGATACCTGTAGAGCAGACATTTTGTTTTTTTCATTAATGCGTCTTACCTGTACTTGTTCTTTTGGTTTGTTTTATCTCGTATATGTTTTATCATCTTATATCGACCTATTTCTGCAGGCCCTCGTGACACTTTCAAACCATTTAGATGAATTCTGCGAACAGAAATATATGTTCATACATTGTGTGGATTTGATGGTTAATTGCTTCAGTTAGTGTGATGTATCGGTAAGATTATGATCAGTCTTGAGTTTTCGAAGTAACGCTAACTGAAGCAGTTAACCACATTTTACTCACTCACTGATTATTATATTGTGATGAAGCGGTTTAATTCATTTGATTTTGGAAATTATTAGAAGCAAGGAAAAATTAATGTTCTGAGATGCCCCAGTTAACAATGTTCCAGCCTTATCACGGCGGCGTCTTCATAAATGTGTCTAAAGGCAGTCACTGAAAACGCAAATTGCAACACCGTCGGGTGCTATGGCACACTAAAACATTAAGTCACCGAATGACCGACTGATTTTATTTAGTAGCCTCTTAGAATAACAATTTTGGCATGTATGGGATCCCCATGCAGGTTCAGCCTTTCAGTCCCTTTACAGTAAGAGAAGACTCAAGTTGGGATAGGCTGGTTAAATGCAGGGGTTAAGGCTCTCAAGCACTGAGACATTCATTTCAGTTTGCCTTGAGAATATACGCGATAACTCCCTTTCCATACGCACCAGAAATTTCTGCTGAAAACTAATTGTACGATTCCTACTATATCGCGAGCATGTGTTTAGTCATCACTATGAAATAATGATGGTACCAAGTGTTTGAGTAAAGGCACTCGTCACAAAGACAAATCAATAATCATTGTTCTGAAAATATAAATTGCCAATGCAAGAGAATAATCAGACTAGATTATCCGCCGAAACAGATTAAAATTTGTCATAAAGGGAACAACAGCTGGACCACTGAAAACCAGTGATGTAACTAGGTGTTCACGAAAAGGGTAAGCATGTCCTGTCCTTTGGGTAGCTCCCGCAATTCACACAATTTGCTTTAAAGAGTATTTTTGCCTGACGCCGGACATCGGTGCTCCTGCCATGCAACGTCAATCGGTACACGGATAAGTTATATAAATAAACAATTTATTGTAAAATTTACAAATTTTTAAATTGATCATATCTCACACTATGCATGTATCCCACGGTTGGAAGGTGAGGTGCAACTCCCTAGTCTATCTATAATGACAACTGAAAGATATACACGAGGACGCTGGAGCTCAGTGATACAAAACCATATTAAGTAGCACTGTCTAGTGTCATATGGCAAAGCCCGTGGATAGGGATCAAACACTCCCAAAGAGTGTTGTGACCCTGATACGTGAACAGAGGAAAGCACATGAAGTCGGGTACAATAAGTGTAAAATGTTCGCACGTGACTGAGCTAATTGTAATGCCAAACAAATCAATGTACGACTTGTAATCGATTCGGCATGTGTTTGGCCTATCGATTCTACCAGACAGGTGTATCACTTTCTCTCATGGAGGATGGAACCAACCAACTTGGCATCTCTTTAAGGCTTCGTGGAAAAACTCTATCACTGTCTCGGTGATTGAATCGAAAGGTTAAGACGAAAAGAGGAAAGATCGACGATGCCATAAAAGGATCGTCGACCCACTACCCAACAACACATGCCCAGTGCAGAGGTGAGCGGAATAGGGATCGGGGCATTGACATCTGGCCGCTTCAGATGAAGACCGCAATGCATCATCCGTTCAAATACTCAGTCTGGGAGAACGCCCCAAAATGCAACAAACTTAAAGAATCATACCAAGGTATATTTTGTCTAGAGAGAGACGTCATACAAGAAAACTGGATCGAGTGCAGGTGTCACACTCTCTGCGCATGTGTCTTAGAGACTTGTGCAAGAGCCAATAGCCCAAATTGGTGCAGACCTTGGACGTCAGTCATAGAGATGTCTTGGCTACCCTTCTAGAATAATCCTAGATGAAATCTTCTGTCTGTGAGTTGGATGAGGGTGGTGAACCAAATCCATGTTGGTCAATAGGCCGCTACCTAAAATATTGTGAAGTGACTGGTGGACGTTATCTTCTGAAGGACCCGAGGTTGAACATCTTTTGGGGGAAAGGCCTAAGTGTGTTAGCCTCCCACGAGATTGCTAACTGAGGATCTTGGATAGGAGATATGAAGTGCGATAGCTAAGTGTTGAAGCCGGTTGCGAAGAGATCGACGTCAGAGCACTGACAAATCCACTGGAAGATCATCGGATGTGGGCGCCATTCCATGGGAGATGGTTTGTGGGTTCGGGACTGGGAGTCGGCTATGACTTTGGAGACGGCGGTATGTGTTTTGCCCGAACATGGATGTTGAGAGAGTCTATCAGTTGAAAAAAGTCGAGCGCCAAAGACAGAATGACAACGACTTGTTTATCTTGTTTATGTACTCGGTGATGGTTGGTTGATTGGTTGGTTTGTTGTTTAACGCCGCACTCAGCAATATTCCAGCTATATGACGGCGGTCTGTAAATAATCGAGTCTGGACCAGACAATGTAGTGATTGATATCATAAGCATCGATCCACGTAATTGGAATCGATGACATGCATCAACCAAGTCAGCGAGCCTGACCACCCGATCCCGTTAGTCTCCTTTTACGACAAGCATAGTCACCTTTTACGGCAAGCATGGGTTGCTGAAGACCTATTCTACCCGGGAATCGTCACGGGTCTACTCGGTGATGGATAGGTTGTCCGAGTGGATCATAAGACTAGAGGAGTGTTGCCCAATGTGACATTACCAAAATCACTGCTTTGAAATCTAAGCTGTTGATGTGAAGATTGCTTTTTTCGAGAGACCACCGCTTGCAACTTGTAGTTCCTGACAATGAGCTCCCCATCCCACGGTTTAGGCGTCGACAAAGAGATGTAGAGTCGGGATAATCTGCCACAAGGAGACTGCTTCTCAAACGTTTGACGGAACAAGCCACCATTGAAGATGTGTCCGTAAGTGGTTCGACAGGGAGATTACAATCTGACAAACGTCGTTCATGGAGAAATGGTTTGAGAAAGCACTGAATTGGTTGAAGGTGGAGAGCCTCTACTGATGTCTCGGTAAGTGTTAATGGAACCAGGTGTTGAATTTTCCTCCAACGATCCATGGGTAGGAACATCATTCCCAGGCGTATAAACTGAAGACTTTTAGTTGGAATCAATTCGGATATTTTGACAGTGACAATCCAACTGCGTTGATGAAGAAGACGGTGAGTGACGCTGAGATGTAGGAGAAGAATGCCTGGATCTTGATTGGCGTGCTTCGCCGAACTTTTTTACTTTTTCACTAAGAGTTTTCTTAGTTTTTGTTGTTTATCCAGCACCTTTCTTGCTCTCGGCGCCGACATTTTTTAAGGTTAATACTGAAGGTTTCTTCAGGCACATTAAACGCATAGATCATAGCGCATAGATGGGTACAACACCCACGACAGTCGAAACAAACATCTTGCGGGTCGGATGGCGAAATTACCGGTCTGTCAGAGAGACCCGTGGGATGACGCTTGGACTGTTCGTTCTTGATGAACACCGACTTAGAAGAAAACAAAAAGAGAATGAGTTGGCTTGGGAGACCAGGTGTTTAGCGTGTGTGGGTCAGCCGGAAGGAAAAGCATGCATGACCTAGATTGCTGAGAGGTGACCATGGTGACACTAGGTGTGCGCGGGTGAATTGCTTTTTAAGACACTGGAAACCTTTGTTTAGGCACCTTTCCAGTTGGGATTAAAAGAAGAAAGAGAAATGCATCGTGTGAGATAGGCTAAGTTTGGAAATGGCATTTAGGGTAAATTTGGGAATTGCATTTGACATCATTTTGGACGCTGATACCTCACATTTCGAAATATCCTCCAATTGTCTGGAATATCATTAAAATAATTTTAACTTGTACTGCCGTAACTTGTAACACTGATCAAACAACGTTTGAGCAAGAGTCGTATGACGTTACTTGATATCATCGTGGAAAGGGCATAGAGCTTATATTATTGACATGGTTGTTTGATGCTGATGCCATTTTTAGTTTTTGTTTGTATGTCGTGTAACGCAACAGTCAGCAAACGTCCAGCTATGTCAAGTTTCGAACAAATAAACCAGGTGTCTATATTATCAGCAATACCCCTCGCCGTCGGGTTTTTCGTTATATTCACAGAAAGTATTTGAGGCAAGTGGAATTAATACCATGTGAATTCTCAAAAACATTTTGCAGCCTCAGAAAAAAGCCAAGTTCCATCCTGTCAAAACATTTGATTTTTTAACTTTGTACACCACAATCCCACATGACAAATTCCATTCCGTGATCCATTTGGCTTTTTGCTACAAAATGTGATGAAAACAGATACAGTTACGTATCTATATTCAGAGATTCAGGACAATTTGAGAAAAACGAAAAGCAAATCTGAAGATTACTGGGAAAACTGTATATGAAATGCTGGACTTCCTCATTGATAGATTCTACGTTATATGGGGGTAAGACATTTAGACAAGAATGGGCACCAATTGTGCTTCCCTTCTTGTGGATCTTGTGGATCTTGTGGATCTGTTTCAGTATGCATATGAATCGGAATTATTTCTGCTTGGATTTGGCAAAGTCAAAACAAGGTTATTTCGCCAAGAAGTTAAACTTAATGAGCTTCAGGTATATCGATGATCTGATATCGTTCAATAACAATCAAATAGTCCATTCCCTTTCCACTGATTAACCCATCTGAACTAGAAATAAAGGAGACCTGTGAGACCGCCTCATCTGTTTCATATTTAGATCAATGCCTAAAGATTCAGAGTGACAAAACACTCACCACAAGACTGTATAGCATAAGGGATGACTTCATTTTTTCAATAGTCAACTTGCCCTTCATGTCGAGCAATATTCCAGCAGTTCCAGCCTTTGGTGTTTACAATTCACAACTTTGGAGATACAATTGAGCAAGCTTTCTCTACCAAGAATTCAAAAAAGCGTCATACGATGCTTGCTCTGAAGTTGCATGATCAAGGTTACAACATTCAAGGCCTCCGTGAAGCTTTCAAAAGGTTCCATGGTAGACATGTGGAGGACATTTCCAAATTTGACGCACCAGTGACAAAAAAGATGTCCGATGCAATTCCCTATTTTGACTTATACCATATGTTCCCGTGCTTTTTCACGTGAACAATTGACTTGACTTTGCATGTGTTTGTGACGGATGCCACCGGTAGGGCAGGATATGCTCACCTTTTCGCTAACACCTGGTACCATTACTATTTGACAGTGATTCACAAACACATGCTAATCATACAGTTGGAATCGTACAATCGAATTTGCGTCATTCAGATATTTATATTGTTATATGGAAAGGCCATTGTCGCTGTATTTATTTGAAGACACCCATTCAATCAAATAAGCCAGCCTGACCACCGATCCATTTTGTTTAGTCCCATGTGTTACTTGATACTAAATGTAACCTAGCGTTCCCACTGTTATTTAACATAATCGTTCAGTGGCATACAATGATTGCAAATCTCACCTCCGATATAAATCATCATCCTCGCAGCCCCATCCAAAGTACATATTCGACCAGCCATTTACTTTGATCACATGATCCTTAGTCAATGCCACCACGCCTCCGAAGGCGCTTGGGTAAGGAAGCCTGAGGTCAGTACAAACAAATAGAATAAATAGTAAATAGTTTGATTAATATGTCCTAGGTATGCTAATTATCTAGCAAACCTATACACAGTTGTGATACTGTCATGATCATGATACTGCCATTGCCAGCAGTGTTGGTAGTTTTAATATATTAGTCATAATGCAGCCCGTACAGCAGTGTTGGTAGTTGTGATACCGTCATTATACAGGCACAGGGAACAGTGTTGGTAGTTGTGATACCGTCATTATACAGGCATAGGGAACAGTGTTGGTAGTTGTGATACCGTCATTATACAGGCATAGGGAACAGTGTTGGTAGTTGTGATACCGTCATTATACAGGCACAGGGAACAGTGTTGGTAGTTGTGATACCGTCATTATACAGGCATAGGGAACAGTGTTGGTAGTTGTGATACCGTCATTATACAGGCATAGGGAACAGTGTTGGTAGTTGTGATACCGTCATTATACAGGCACAGGGAACAGTGTTGGTAGTAGTTGTAGAGTCGCGATACAACCATTGACAACAGTGTTGGCCCTTATGATACAAAACATGACACATCCACTTACAGCCTTGTTTATCATCTAGCCTTCTCCATTAGTATTAAATGTGATACACTCAAGATGATGCCACTTGCAAAATTGTTTGCATTTGTTATAGTGGCTTCATAGAGCCATTATTATTATTATCATTATTATTATTTAACAAGAATCACCCGACTAACATTTGTTTCAACAGTGTACTGTAATTGTGATATTATTTAGATTATATTTCAAAAGAGAGGAAAGCATAACCATTTCCATTTTAACAAGAACGAGGTCTACTGTGAGATTGCACTTGGACTTTTGTTGAAGTCATTTAATTTTCGCTTACAAGACGAAATACGGCATCAGAAGTATTTGTGTTCAATTAGAAGAAAATATTCAGAGGGTGTGATTAGTTTTTCCTAAACTCTTCTACCTAGCTAAAACATAACTCACTTGTAATTATTCTTGTCGACGGAAACTGCCAGATGACTTGGTGAACGTTGACAATTGTACAAATTTAGATCGTTTTCGGGGACATGGTCAACATCGTGGAATATAAAGCATTGGAAGTCGTAGTCCTTCAATGCCTCTGTGTAGCCGATGTTCATCAGGACTGCTCTGTTGAAGGTGGTGGGCATTGCCTGTAACACAACACCATTGCAAAGACGAATAATCATACTAATTACAACAACAATAATATATTTTTTTTATTAATATCATCTGTTTTTAAGTCAACATCTTGGAAGACAACGCAGTTGAATATAAGACGTCAGCGCCAAATAATAATTACTCACGATTATCTGCTGGAACAGATTCCAGAGCGCTTCAAAAGCAAATGAAGATGACACAAGGTATTTGCAAAAAGACTAAGCATGTCGTGCTCTAATGGTAGCCATACTCATGTCATTGGTCGGTGAGACCCAAACTTAGAAAAGCATTCTCCTGCGCGAAAAGTGTACACACTTAAAAATATAGATTTGACCAACAAATTACAAACGTTATCAAAACGTAACTGGGCTGACAACAGTCGCCGAAACATTGCAAACAAAGAACTCTGATACCCGTATCAAATACATCACCACTGAATAACCATTTCTTGAATTGTTAGGCAGTTAGGTAATATAACGACCTACTTCAAAATATACATGGTTAGGGCGTCCTTACTTTATTTGTGTGTTTCTCATCTCACGCCGCCTGCAAATTTTCCTCCCGCCTAATTAAAGAATAAAATTTTCATCCTGAATTATCTGCCGTCCATCTGTATTAAAGTGGGTATTCCGCTCCTTAATAAAGTTTCACAATTAAAAAGTGTTTAAACCATGGTCGTATATACAAATAGCAATACGCGTTCTTTAAGTGAACTGTTGAAATTTGGAATGGAGGCAACTCTCAGTTACTTTTATTTCTGTGATGATATATATGATCCGTTTTAACTATAGTGCATATATTAAGCGTGGAGCTGCCTTGATGTTTGAAAACCTGAGACAATGCACTCACACATACGGGCCTCTCTGTTCTTTGTAAAGTTCGGAGTTAACACAACCTTGGTCGTTAAATCAGACGTAACACAGCCTGTTCTACATTCCTTCCACCAACCTATACGCCTGGTTGACTTGTTGACTGCTTCACGAAATCGATAGCCCAAAACGCAGTGCCCTCTATTTAAAATAAACACCTGTGCGTACTTTTTTTCAAGGACATTTAAGACGTTCTGATTTATTTATGTTTTTGAGAAAACCTCAGTTTAATTAAAGCTTAATTACAATATTATGTATCTCTGGTATCTATGAGATATAACAAATGTTACTAAGTTGACCGCGATTGTCCTGTTTTCGTTCAGCTACATTTTATATAAATATATGAAAATATTGTGGGAATTTATTGTATGAATTGATGCTTTAAAATATGAAATCTGCTTTATTTAGGAAAGGATATTTTGCAATTCGCTGTTGTGAAATTTACGATTTATTGAATCAGAGAGATCAGGTCTATCTGTCAGTCTAATTTTATGAATAAAAAATATATTTAATAAACTATCTTCATCTAATCTCTGTAGAAAGCTGTTCCCTTGTTCGTAAATTTACAATATAGTATTCGGTTCCATTTTGCCTGAGACTGCATGTCAAAGGATACATATTTCTTTTGAAATTAAATTTAATAAGAGACTTTCGAACCGATTCAATTCGAAGTTGTGTTTATGCCGAATTTATGACTTGAAAGAGGTTGAAGTTATAACTTATTTAATTAAAATATGACAATTAAAATATGACTTAATGGTGATGGTCGCTTGTTTCATCATCTCTTCGTTATTTCCTTTTATATTCATTTGCAAATTGCGTTTAAGTTTCGATTTTGCATTTTCTCCCATTGCAGTTCTCTCAATAGTCGATCAAACATGGGTTTAAATTGTCAAATATTTGGTCTAAACCATAACGGCCTTGATATTGAACGTTAGCCTTTCGGCTTCACATCGTAAGTTTTCACCTTCTGGAAGAGACATTCTGAAATAAAGAACAATTTTTCTTCTCTTTTTTTACTTTTTTTCCGACAGACCGCCGTCCTCTGGGAAAACGTGGAGATTAGAAACACAAAAATAACAAAGAACGCCCTGTACATGTTACAACCCCTAGTGTTCACCTTAACCTAAGTGAAACTATGAACCCTAACGGTTTAAACCGCAACCCCTAGGATAAACACGTGAATACTGAAATACTTGGGGTTGATATTGCAACTGCTATTGTTAACATGTGAACACAAAGGGGTAGTACTGTGCATAAATTTTGTATTTGCAACCCTTAGAGTTCACATGTTTTTCAGATGAGGGGTGAAACTAGATTTCGTGAAATATGGACCTTATAAAGCAGATTACAATGCAATAATTCACTTTCTGTGTTGGGAAAAATTACCAAAAGGCCTTAGTATTGGTATTTCATGTATCACTGCTCAGAATACCTAAAATATAACACTCGTCATTTGTACGTTTTTATTTATGTGTAAAACATTTTGAAATTGTGAATTTATTTTGATAAAATGTGTGTATAATATTCTTAAAACATACCAATCCATCTGTTCGAAATAATAACTGCATCCCAAAAGTCTGTTAACCTGCTTTTGATATCATCGCTGCACTGAAGTTACTAGCCCAGTTATTCACTGTTTATGCTTTCTGCCAAATAAGAACTGATCATGATCATAATATTAATACACGAATGAAAGAAATTGGCGTCATTATACAGAAAAATCCTATATGACCATTTGTTTTTTTAACCATTCCTCACTTCAGGCTTGGTCAAATTTGTTCTGCAATATGTTCGTTAATGCGGTTCCCGGCAGGATTCTGGAAACCATATGAACACTGTTAGTTGCAGTATAATTCCTTAGTGTTCACATTTGAAATGATTGTATTATTACTTAGTCTCTTTTCAAAAACAAATACTATCTAGAAACACAAAAATGCATAATTTTCTGTAGAGAGATATCAGATCAACACTAAATAAACACTAGCAGTCGCAAATGTAATCTCTAGTGCTCATATGATGACGTTATGGGTTACATTTGCAAATGCTAGTGTTCCTTTGCCCAAAATGAGTCTGAGTTTGGTTTATGCCGCTTTTAGCAATATTCCAGCAATATCACGGCGGCCGCCTTAAATGATATATACTTTCTAATATCTCTATATAGAAAGTTATGCAATTATGTTTTGAAAACTTGTTTAAAAATTATATTTCTTTTGGAAAATAAAAAACCTGCTAGTGTTCATTTGCCAATAATGATCAAATATCTCAATTGAAATCTATACAGTTGTGTTTTTGAAAACCTTTTTCAGAATAATATTTGTTTTTGAAAACAAATATTCATTGCTGACACTAAGAGTTACATGTGCAGCTTCTAGTGTTCATCTAATGCTCAACATACGCAATCCGAAATCTAGACCGAAAGTCAAATTTACAAAGTTTGAACAAAATCCAATCAATATCTACAGAAAGATCGGTTTGAATTTATATAGCGCTGAGCTAACTTATAATACTCATGGTTACAAAATGACAAAATTACGAACTGATTATTAGCCTTAGCTATCTTGATGGCAACACATGCTATTTTGCTAACCCCACTTCAAAATGGTGCTTTCCACTCCTGTATCAACTATTTTCACAAGATACAGTAACATCCCCTTGCGAAATATAAAATATTCAAAGAAAGACTCATAAAACATCTTTACTAATTTCTTACACTTGTGTCTTTAAAAAGGTAGGTTTGAAGGATTTTTCTGTGGCATTGGTGAGTGAGTTAAAATTTAACGTCGCATCGGAATTATTTCAGCCATATAGCGACACGTTGGCATCATATAAATCGTGACCTTGGCCTTAGATAGTTGACGTAGGAGTTTCAGTGTATCCCTAATTTTGTAGTAAGAGTGTGCATTGAATAAACATTTAAGTAACTATCATCATTAAGTTAGAACAATTATTTGCTTTGACATACATATACAGCGGAAGCATGAAAATAGGGCAAGGTGACATTCATTCCATATCAATAATACTTGTTTACTAAGATACATGTACTCGCCAAGTTTCATCAAGCACACAAATATAAACATGTCACAGCAAATGTCCCTATTATGACAAAGATAAGGCTCTCTAATGACAATGACATTGAGTGCTCATATACATAAAACTAAATAAACCGAGACCTATAAATATCAAAAAAATATCTTCATAATTAAGAGGTTTAAAAGAGTTTTGTGTATATATTTTGTAACCCGTGACTTTGATCTCGGATGCAAGATTTAACAATTTAAGTGTAATCCCAATTTGGCAGTCAGTGTTTGTTCAGCGTATGCATGTTTAAGGGAACATAATGATATAGGTGGAGTAAGTATCAGCTTTGACACACTTACACAGCTGGAGCATGTAATGTTGGTAAAGATGGCCTACTTTTCATATCAATGACATATTTCTCCACGATCGAAATTTCAATTTAGGACTAAAATATAAGAGTTACAAAAAGGTTCTTTCAATGACAAACTGAATGCTTTTTAGTGACTTTGACAATGGGCCCTAATGTGCCAAAAACTAATCAATCCGACTCCCCTTGGTTACATATATGGCATACAAAGTTTCAGTGCTAGGATCCTTTGCATGAAGAAGCTATCGCAACATCAAAAACGGCAACTGGAAGAGTCAGGAGCGTGCAAATTCAAACAAACATTAAAACAATTTTATATAATCTAGGTACACACGAAACCCCAAACCGTCTACCAACCCCACCCTATCGAACGCTGTCAACCCCCTCCCAAAATCGCCTCCTCCCCTCTCCCCCACACCCTAAGCCAGTAGCTTGCTAAGGCCGCACTTTCTTATTCACAGGCAGAATAAGAAACTGGCCACTCGCCCATGCAGAATAAGAAACGGAATACACCGTGGTTCAATTCCATGTTCAAAAATGAAAACATTACACAAAAGCCAGAAAATCCACATTGATCTCCATCAGTAATCTCGTCATAAAGCGCAGGTGTTGGGTTAAAACAGTATCCCTTACACTTGAAATTAATGCCACATGGAATTCTCTTCTCAGTGTGAGATTTTTATAGGGCAAGAAAGAGGGGGACCCATGTGCATTTCAATTTGCACGGAACTCACGT